GGCAACTAATTCGAAATTTGTAACTATCATCCATTGGGACAATAGATAATGTGGTGAGTCAATCCATAAAATAATTTCTCGTAATTAAGAGTCTAAGACACAAGACTGAGATCCTAGTTTAACTTCACTCACTGCAGGGACGGAGGGCCATTGGGGCCCCAAGGCCCCCCGGCTCTGGCTTATAATTTGTAATTTTAATTTTTATATTAGCATAAAATTTATTAAAAAAAATTAGATAAATTAAAAGTTTAGCATCTAATCTATTATTTTTATTCAATTTTGGTACTTAAACTTTTTTTTTTTAAATCATAACTAAAGTTTAGTTTAAATTTTAATTTGACACATCATTGAAAAAATTAACAGAACTCTTGATATGACATTTTTTTTTATTTTTTTCAATGATGACATGACATTATCTTATGATAACACGTAATATCACCGTTAAGTTTTTAACAATAAGATATCATAATAAAAGAGAGACATACTCGATGGTCGGCAGTAGGACAGTAGCGTGATAGTACCGGTGGCTGCGCCTGCGCTGTGATAAGTGCGTGCGTGGGTAGGAAAGTTAAGAAAAAAGGTAGAAAAGATTGGGGAAAGTTAGAGATTTGGTACTGGGTAGTGCCGTAGTGAAGAGTGGAGAAGAGAACGGCTGTGCTGAAGAGTGAAGAATGTTAGGGTTTTCTACATTGTGTTAACTTTAATTGGGCTTATGGGAAGTTGGTAACCGGATATTCGGTTCAATACGGGTCAAATGGGTCTTTATGAAAAATTTGAATCGAATCGAATCAATAGATTTGATTCTTTAAATCAACCCGAATCTGAATTATTTATAGGTAAATCTGAACCGAACCGTTTTACTCAATTCGTTCGGTTTTTTAATTTTCTCGGTTTCGTTGCTCAGCCCTACAACTAATAGTAAGTTCACAACTAAATAACAACGTTTAGCATAGATGAGGGACTAAAATGAAAAATAAACTGTTTTAGAGAAGGCCAGGCCCATAACTCGAAAAACTTGTAAGATTGGGCGTCCAATTGGAATATGATATTATTTTGAGTTGAGCCTTGAAATTCAGGTCCCCCATATCTCTTTGTATTTAGATAATTTAATTTATTCAAATCAAAACCCACAATCATATCTGTCTCTCATACATAAACATTAGTACGCCATAATTACCCTCTTTAAAATCAAAGGAAAATATATGAATCAAATTCACAAACTCTAATAAATTTGGAAATGCTTATATAAGTGATTTCGGCCTAAAATTCCCCTTGAAATGAAAAACTATTCTCAAACAACTCATTTTCAGCTAAAAATTCACGTTTGAAACGTTATTATCGACTCAAAGCAATAAACTGAAAAAATAATATTTTTACGGTGAAAATGTTGGTTGAAAAAAACTAGTTTGAGAAGCATTTCCAAATGAATCTAGAGCTCTAAATGGAGCCAGCTAAAACGATGAATATAAGGTAAAATAATAGATGTCGTATTACCGGCTTTCTCCTAATCCTAGTTGGTGTAGGGCTTATCATTTGGCTACCTCAACCAAGGTTCGAGAGCTGGTAACGGAAGTAATAATAAATAAATAATAATTACAGCAGTTAAGGTATTCTAAAATACCTCTTTTGGAGTTTGGAGTTTGTAATAATTTCATATAATCACGGTCTGATTAACATGAAAATCCGATCAATACAACTAAGCTCTTATGATCGTCCAAAGTTCGACTCACATCACATGTTGAAAAGACTGCACGTCACTTTCTTTTCTTTGGCAGATGTATGATCACTGTAGAGTTTGAAAACATAAGAATTAACCCAAAAAAGGTCAATGATAGATAGAGGTGGATGACTGGTGAACGGCAGAGAAATCACAAGTACTGAAAACCCAGAATTTTAACGACAGTTCATTCCTTATTAGAATCTTACTTGGTGAGGTCGAAAGACTTCCTTTTTTTGCTGCTGTTTAGATCTAGTGTTTCTTCTTCGGTGCTTCTTTTTTCTGTTCAATGTTCGGTACGACCTCGTGTTAATTGTTAGCTTACTAAGAATAACAACAATAGGGTTGAAAAACAGAGGAAAGGAAAAATATGACATTCAACTCAATGAATTCATAACATTGACAGCTTGTTTATTTAGGTAATTGAATAATAAAAAACCAGAAAATTAGGCACTAGTAGAATAAGACTCTTAGCAACAAAGGAAAAATCGAAATAAAAACTACCCATGATTTGTAGCCATTAAATCCTTGATGCACAGCAACTACTGAATCACTAAACACATGAAAACAGATTTTATTAACAATCCCTCCCTTAAACGGAAAACGCCTTGAACTTCAGTTTGCTAGACATTACATTCTCTTCAAACAGGATTTTCCAAAGTGCGAACTCCCATTGACCTCCTTAACTTTTGAAAGAGAGACAATTTGAGCAGTTTGGTGAATATATCAGCCAACTGATCCTCACTCTTGCAGTACTTGAGATCAATTACCCCATCATTGTTGAGATCTCTCAAAAAAAAATACTTCACGTCAATATGTTTGCTTCTGCCATGTAACAAAGGATTTTTTTGAAAGTTTGATAGCTGAGTTGTTGTCACAAAAAACTGTTGTAGCTCCCATTCTCTTGAACTTCAGCTCCTCCAAGATTTTCCTTAACCAAATAGCTTGACAAGCACAAGCTGTTGCAGCAACAAATTCAGCTTCTGTTGTTGATAGAGTAACAATGGATTGCTTCTTGGATGACCATGAAACAGCTCCGGTTCCCATCATAAAAACATAGCCTGAAGTATTTTTTCTATAGCTCGAGTCTCCTGCAAAATCACTATCAGTGAACCTAAATAAATTTGAAAATTCTCATCTCCTGTAAAACAATCCAAAGTCTTTCGTTCCTTGCAAGTAACGAAGGATTCTCTCGGCAGCCAATGAATGCATCTCCTTAGGATTCTCCATAAACCTGTTGATCAAACTCACAGAATACATTATGTCAGGTCTTGTACCACTAAAATACATTAAGCTGCCAACAATCTGCTTGTAAAGGGCGCTGTCCACTTCATTTCCTTCTTTATTCAACTTCAAGTTGTACTCAATGGGAGTATTTGCTGGATTGCAATCCTTTATATCAAACCTTCTTAGAATATCTTGAATATATTTATTTAGAGAAAGAAATATTCCGTCAGCTGATTGCACAACTTCTATGCCCAGAAAATAATGCATCATACCAAGATCTGACATTTCAAACTCAGTCATCATAGAACTTTTGAATTCCTTAAACATGAAACTACAATTTCCAGTGAAAATAAGATCATCAACATATAAACTGACAATAAGCATTTTTCCTTCATCAATGGATTTAATGAAAAGAGTAGACTCATAAGGACATCTGGTAAAACCAACTTTCAAGAAATAAGCTTCAATTCTACTGTGCCAAGCACGTGGCGCTTGTTTCGACCCATATAAAGCCTTTTTCAGTTTATAAAATTTATTTTTCACTTTCATGTTTAATATAACTAGAAGGTTGTTTAATAAATACCTATTCTTGAAGCTCACCGTGCAGAAATGTCGACTTTACATCTAATTGGAAGATAGGCCAAGAGTGTTGAGCTGCAATCGAATTTATCAATCTGATTGTATCATGCCTTGCAATAGGAGCAAAGACTTCTTTGTAATCCACCCCAAACTCCTACTTATATATAACCTTTGGCTACCAAGCACGCCTTATATTTGTCAAGTTCTCCGTTCTCCTCCAACTTTTGTCTTATACACCCATTTGACACTAATTTTTTTGTGCCTTTTATGAAGCTCGGTCAACTCCCATATATCATTCCTCTCTATAATTGCAATTTCTTCATCCATTGCTTTTCGCCATTTCGACTCTTTTACAATGCTTTTAAAAGTTGTTGGATGACAATCTGCATACAAGGCAAAGTGGGTGATTAGATCTTCAATCTGACCAATGCCAGTTACTTCAAAATCTCCCATCCAAGATGGTCTCCATCGAATACGACTAGGACAAGGTTCAGCTACCTCCACCGCATTAGTTGTTGGAACTTCATTTGATGGATCCTCAAGCCCAAGAGTTGCTTGACTTTGCTGCTTTAAAGGTTGTTGCCTTTCACCTTCAATTTCAGTGTCAACAAAGGTTTGTGAAGGCTGTAGGACATCCCAATTCCAAATGTTCTCCTCATCAAAAAGTACATCCCTGCTGATCACAATCTTTTTTGTCAAAGGATTAAACAATTTATATGTTTTAGATGTTTAACTTACACCTAGAAAGACACACTTCTCTCCCTTATTATCAAGTTTTTTCCTCTTTGCATCTCGGACATGTGCATAAGCAATGCAACCAAAAATTCTAAAGTGATATATAGCTGATCTTCTTCCACTCCAAGCTTCTTCAGGTGTCATGTTTTGAACATAAAAAGTTGGACTTCTGTTCAAGATATGGATTCTCCAATTTACTGCTTCTATCCAAAAACGTTTTGGGACCCTTCCACCAGCAAGCGTGCTCCGTACCATATTAAGCATGGTTCTGTTTTTCTTTTTTTTGATACGCCATTTTGTTGGGGAGTATATGCAGCTGTATGTTCTTTCTGAATGCCATGACTCTCACAAAATGATTCAAATTCCTTAAAGTAATATTCTCTACCACGGTCAGTGCGAAGAGCTTAAATGGTTTTTTCGGTTTCATTCCCAACAAGTACCTTGAAGCTAGTAAAGACACTAAATGCTTCTGATTTCTCCTATAAGACGCAAACCCATGTTTTGCGGGTATACTCATCAATGAAAGTAAGGAAATAATTTTTACCTCAATTAGAAAGGTTTTATTGGCCCACAGATATCCTCATGAATCAATTTCAGCACACATTTTGCTCTACAGGACTTTCCTTCAGGAAATTGTTCACGATGTTGTTTGCCAACAACACAATCTTTACACATCTGGGAAGATGACAATTTGAGGAACCCCACTATCTCTTTTTTCCAAGGAGTCTTCAAACCCCCAAAATTAAGATGACCTCAAAGCCCCAAAATTAAAATGACCATAGCGATAATGCCAAAGCCATGAGTCGTCCTTCCCTTTAGCCATCAAGTATGGTTGAACACAATCAATTACCAAGGGAAACAACCTGTTAGAACTCATTGGAACCACTGCAATAGCACCTCTGAAAGGATCATAGATTTCACAAGAACCATTGGATATTGTAATCATATATCCTTTTTCTTGTAATTGACCAGCACTTAACAAGTTACTCTTCAAAGCAGACACAAAGAAAACATTTGAAATTGATTCTACAAAACCATTCTTGTTTCTTATGCTAATATCACCTTTTCCCACTACATCAACAGTAGATTTATCTCCAAAAGACACAGTAGTTTGAAGAATTTCATCGAGATGAGAGAAAGAAGACTTGTTACCGCACACGTGGTTTCTACAACCTGTATCCACATACCACAAACATGAGTTCTACGACTCCTCACGTTTGTCATGAACTGCTATCAACAAGGTTTCAGTTTTTTTTTGCAAAATTTGACTTTTTTTGCCCTTTTCTTATCATTAGATAGCCATGACTAAATTTATGACATCTAAAACATTCTACCTTTGACTTGTCAAATTATTGATCTTGTCTTCTTCCTTTATCATCTGGTCTGGTATTAGGGATGAGCATGGACTCAAACTCGACTAGATCGGGTCAGAGTTTTTAAAAAATTCAGGTTCGATTCAGGTTGGGTTGAATTTTTTTAAATGTGATGTTTAGGTTGGGTTTGATTTGGGTTTAGGGTAAAAATACCCGACCCAAAAAAAATATAATTTTATCTTATATATTTAAGAATAATTACAATAATATCCCTCTATATATTATTTTTTTCAATTAAATCACTTTTTTATTGAATAAAAATAATATTTTTTATTATTTGGGTCGGATCGGATCAGATTCATATTTATCTCAAAAGTCGGGTCGGTTGGAGGGTATATATTTTCGGGTTGGGTGAAGGATGTAAAATTTTCGGGTCGAGTTAGGTTGGCCGAAACCCGGCCCTATATGGCATGCCGGCCACCATCTCTATTCCAGCTATCTTCGCTGCTTCTTTCCCTTCCTCAACCTCTATCTCTTCCTCTAAAAGAATGAGAAGAAATCTTTAGCGCCTGCTCCATAGGGTAGAAGTTATGTTCATCTTCAGTTCATGGACCAACAAGGAACTTTGGAGTTCAAGGGGTGAGCGCATCAATGTCTTTACACTCTTCAATTGAGCAGACACATAATCATACTTCGGTGACAAAGACCGCAATATCTTCTCAACAATGGTTGTGTCGCCCATCTTCTCACCATGAAACCGCATATTATTTGTGATTCCCATAGTTCGTACACAATAGTCTGTAACAGACTCACCATTCTTCATTTGAAGAACCTCAAAGTCCCTTCACAAGGCCTGAAATTGTGCACGCTTCACTCTAGAAGAGTCTTGATATTTCATCTTCATGGAGTCCCAAATATCTTTGGAAGTTTCTTTGCAAAGAATAGTTTCCAAGATTGAATGATCAATAGCTTGAAATAAATGATTCTTCGATTTCAAATCTTTTAGCTTCAGCCCATCCATATCTTTTTGTTGTGCTTCAGTAAGCCTTTCTCTATTTGGTGGTGTTTTAATTCCGTGTTAAATAACCAGCCAATACTCCTTGGATCGTAAGAAGTTCTCCATCAAGATGCTCCAATGATCATAGTGACCATCAAAACGTGGAATACCTGCATGAACAAAAAATTCATAAGCCATAAGAGGACTAAAAATTTTTTTTATTAAAATAACCGACTCTGATACCACTGTTAGTTTACTAAGAAGAACAACAATAGGATTGAAAATAGAGGAAAGGAAAATATAACTGTTGACGAAAACGGGTAAAGAAAACGAAAGAACACGAGAATTTTACGAGGTTCGGCAATGTGCTTACGTCCTCGGTGCCTAGGCAGCGCTAGAATTTTATTCAATGATCTTTTAGGTCTAGGTTACATCTCTATTTATAATAGAAAACCCTGGTACATAATTACAAAATTAACCCTGTACCGTACCGCGGGGGCTATGCCCCCGCACCCCCAACCCACATAATTTGTAACCCCACAACAAGACTTTCTTTGTAAGGACAGTTGATGTTCGCTTCGCTCACTCCGCTCCATCTCCTGTCCTCTTTACTGGTATATATTTATGAGCCATACCTAACAAATCTCCACCTTGGCGAATATCCTGCCCCTTGGAAACTTCAATGTGGGTTGGGTTACCTTGCTTCTTTAACAACTCGAAACATTCAACAAGTCCAAGCAATGCTTGAACTTGTCTGTCGTAACTGGCTTGGTGAACATATCAGCGGCATTCTCATCAGTATGTACCTTCTGAAACAAAACCTCTCCAGATGCAACCAACTCTCTGATCTTGTGGAACCTTACATCAATATGTTTAGTTCTAGCACGATACACCTGATTCTTAGCCAAGTGAATAGCACTTTGATTATCACAAAGCAACTGAACTCCACCTTGTTGAACACCCAACTCCTTCACTAAACCAGTAAGCCATAAAGCTTCTTTTGCAGCTTCAGCCGCTGCCATGTACTCAGCTTCAGTTGTAGATAGAGCCACAATAGATTGAACAATAGACTTCCAACAAATAGGCCCTCCACCAAGAGTAAAGACATACCCTGTCGTAGATCTTCTATTATCCAAGTCACCTGCATAGTCTGAATCCACATATCCTACAACCAAAGGATTATCCCGCTGACTCCCAAAAACAATTCCATGTCCCACAGTACCCTTTAAGTACCGAAAGATCCACTTGACTGCTTCCCAATGTTGCTTACCAGGTTTAGACATGTACTTACAAACTTGACTAACAGCATGAGCTAAATCAGGACGAGTACATACCATCGCATACATCAAGCAGCCAACAACATTAGAATACGGAACCTTTGCCATATCTTCAGCTTCCTTATCTGTCTTGGGGCACTGTTCTGATGAGAGCTTAAAGTGATTCGCCAATGGAGTGCTAACTGGTTTTGCGCTGCTCATCGCAAACCTTTCTAGCATTTTCTCAACATAACCCCGTTGAGATAGCCGCAGTTTCCTTGAGTCTCTGTCCCTGCAAATTTCCATTCCAAGAATTTTCTTTGCAGCACCTAAATCTTTCATATCAAATTCCTGACTCAATAAAGTTTTCAAACCGATAACATCATCCATGTTCTTCGCAGCAATCAACATATCATCAACATACAGTAATAGAAAAATAAAAGAACCTCATCAAGGCTCTTAACATAGACACAAAATCATACTCACATCGGTTGTAGCCAATCTTGATCATATAGGAGTCAAACCGTTTACCACTATCTCGGAGACTGTTTCAACCGTACAAAGATTTCTTCAATCTGCAAACTAAATGCTCGTTCCAGGTTGAGTGAAACCTTCAGGTTGCCGCATGTAGATCTGCTCCTCTAAATCACCATGCAAAAAAGCAGTTTTAACATCCATCTGCTCTAAATGCAAATCCCAACTAGCCACCAATGCAAGTACTGCTCGGATTGAAGGTGCCTGACCACAGGAGAAAAGATTTCATCATAATCAACTCCTTTCTGCTGTGAAAAACCCTTCGCTACCAAACGAGCCTTGAACTTCTCCCCCTCTTTTTCTGTTACTGTTGGTTTCTTCTTATACACCCATTTGCAACCAATCGGCTTCTTACCCTCAAGAAGGGGAACTAACTCCCATGTGCGATTGTGATTCAAAGACTCCATCTCCTCAACCATGGCTGCCATCCACTTGTCGTTTTCCTGACTAGTAACGGCATCATGAAAAGTAACTGGATCATCACTGCTAACAGTAAGTGCAAAGATACCAAGTCTTCAAAACCCAATCTGTCGGAGGCTTTATATTCGTCCGTCTCACCCTGTCTTTGGCGAGACTATAATCCTGCAAATCATCCGTAGTGGAACCACCAGAAGTCGGTTGAGAAGTTTCTGGTTTCTCAACTGGAAACTGCTCGAAATCTACCACTATCGTGTCTTGCTTCTGCTGCAACATAGACTGTTCATCAAAAACGACATCTCTACTAATCACAACTTTATTCGCAACTGGATCCCAGAACTTGAATCCTTTGACACCTTTCTTGTAACCCAGAAAAATGCACTCCTTCGATTTTGCATCAAGTTTGGATCTCTCATCAGCAGGTACATGCACATAAGCAGGACAACCAAAAATCCGTAAGTTATCAAAACTAACATCATGACCAGTCCATACATCTTCTGCAACTTTCCCAGCCAGCGATGCCCTTGGCGATCTGTTGATAAGGTAACACGCCATGTTAACAGCCTCAGCCCAGAAGTGTTTGGGAAGCCCCGCATTCAACCGCAAACATCTGGCTCTTTCATTCAACGACCTGTTCATTCGTTCCGCAACACCATTCTGTTGTGGTGTCTTGCGCACTGTAAAATGCCTCTGAATCCCATGCTCCTTACAGAATTGTAGGAACTGTGAATCTGTGTACTCCGTACCATTGTCAGACCGCAAACACTTGATTTTTCGTCCTGTTTGGTTTTCTACCTCAGTTTTCCACAGCTTGAACTTCTCAAAAACTTCAGATTTCTGTTTCAAAAAAAATACACCCAAACTTTCCGTGAAAACATCAATAAAAGTAACATAGTACCTAGATCCACCCAAAGACGATGTCGTGGAAGGCCCCATACATCAGAATGCACATAATCAAGAATCCCTTGAGTTGTGTGCTTCGCAGTCTTGAAACGGACTTTAGTCTGTTTACCAAGAACACAATACTTGCAAAAGTCGAGCTTACAGCTTTTGACACCATGCAACAAGTTTCTCTTGTGTAATTCTGCCATACCACGTTCACTAAGATGAGCAAGGCGCATATGCCACAATTTTGTCGTATCATCACAGGACTCAACAGAGTGAACTCCACCTGCAACGGTACTCCCTAACAATCTGTAGATATTCCCTGCAGTCATCTTGCCTTTCATCACAGTCAATGCTCCTTTAACAATCCGAATGGTTTCCCTATCCTCGTCAGCCTTAGGGATAAAACCATTCTTGTGCAAAGTACCCAAGGAAATCAAATTCTTCTTCAAGTCTGGGATATGTCGAACACCACTCAACGTCCTAACGGAGCCATCGTGCATCTTAATTCTGACATCACCAATACCAACAATATTGCAACATCGATCATCACCCAAATAAACCGAACCAGAATTAACCGGCCTGTATGTCGAAAACCATTCCCTATTTGGCGTGATGTGATAAGAACATCCAGAATCAAGAATCCAAGCATCCGTCAATTGTGTCGTTGAAATAGAAAGCATATCACCCTCACTGCAATCAGAATTATCATCCTAGACCACGTTCACAGACTTGGATGAGCCATCACGCTTCTCATCAGTCTGCTTTTTCAACTTCGGACAGTCTCGCTTCATATGTCCCGCCTCCTTGCACTTGTAACAGTGAATCGTCTTCTTATCCCTGGATTTGGATCTGGAATTCCGCTTCCCGGACCCTGCCTTCTCTGGCTTCCGTCCACGATCTCGATTACCCTTGACATATAAGCTTTCGGCTTGAGAGCTTTCCCCTGCATTCTGCTTCCGCTGGTTGTGAGCCAACAAGGCTGCAGTAATCTCCTCAACATTGATAGTCTCTTTCCCATATGTAAGAGTAGTCACCATGTGTTCGTAAGAGGGAGGCAACGAACACAACAGAATCATCGCTCTGTCTTCATCCTCAATTTTCACATCAAGCCGAGCCAGATCAGAAACGATTTGATGAAGACATTCACGTGTTGCGCCAAATCGTGATCGTCCTGCATCTTCAGCCCATACAGCCGCTGCTTCAGATACAGTTTGTCGTTAAGGATTTGGACATAAACTGACTTTCCAACTTCCTCCAAATTTCGTCTGGAGACGATAGATGCATGACGTGACCTCGTCCGCCAAGCATAATCGTATGGTTCCTGCCGCTCGTTGCTGCAATTCTTCCCAATCTTCCTCATCCATCGACGCCGGCTTTGTAGATCGCAAAGCCTTCAAGATCCCTTGCTGCGCCAATAGATCCTTCACCCTCGTTTGCCATAATCTGAAGTTACCCTGACCATCGAATTTCGCGACTTCGAATTTTTCTCCTGACATCTGATACCAATTGTTGACGAAAACGGGTAAAGAAAACGAAAGAACACGAGAATTTTACGAGGTTCGGCAATGTGCTTACGTCCTCGGTGCCTAGGCGGCGCTAGAATTTTATTCAATGATCTTTTAGGTCTAGGTTACATCTCTATTTATAATAGAAAACCCTGGTACATAATTACAAAATTAACCACTCCGC